CGGGGGGTCAGCGGGATGTGGGGGGTCGGACATAGCCTTGGCATCCTGGCTGCCCGTGGCTCGGGCAGGGCCTCCGGAGACCCGTTTTTGCGCCCAGTGAAGGGGCCCAAACCGTTCAACATCCAGGTGCTTGTTGGCTTCTCCCTCCCCCATCCCTTCCTTGGGTTTTTTCCCACGCCAGCCCGGATCCCGTGTTAATCCATCCCATGTTCTCCCTGTATTTTGGAAACCTCAGCACTGGGATGGAGAAGCAGCAAACCCCAAATTCTTCCCGAAGCCAGCAAAGCTTGAAATCGCCGCTTCCCGCCCCCAAAACGGTGCTTCCCGTGACGCTTCCCAGCAGGAGAACGTCCCTCCCCAGGGGTAAGGGGCTTCCCCGGCCACGGCCGGAGCGTCAGAGCGTCTGGGAGCGGAGCGGCTCTCGGGCAACCTTCTCGCCGTCCGACCCACCCGCCCGTGCCCGCCCCCGGGAAACAGCCTCGTCTGGGCCTTCCATCTTCACTGAGCACACGTATCCTACAGCCCAGCCTTCCCTCGGGAAGGCAGAGGGGGAGGGGGCGGGTGACCCCCGCAACCTTCTCGCCGTCCGACCCACCCGCTCGCGCCCGCCCCCAGGAAACGGCCTTGTCTGGGCCTTCCATCTTCACTGAGCACACGTATCCTCCAGCCTTCCCTCGGGAAGGAAGAGGGGGAGGGGGAGGGTGACCCCCAGGCCGGAGGGTGGTCGCACACCGGGAGGCGGAGAAACGCCGACGGGTTTCATGGTGGTGCCGAGCCGCCGGGAAAACACGCAGAGACGGGGGAAAACATGAAAAAAGCCTTTTCAGTAGTTTCTCAGGGGGAGGCTGGAGCACATCGGGGTCTGGGTCCGCATGGTCGGGGGCAGATAACGAGACGAGGTGGAGAAAGGTGATATTTGGCGCATCTTCCCCAGAATATTGCCCACGAGCGGCCTGATCCTACCTGTTTCCTGCAGGCTTGTAATGAATTCCCCTCTCCCTCTCCTCTCGCCTCTTTTGGTGTCACTTTATTTCCCTTTATGTCACTTATTTCATTCCGGTTTTTATCCGGCAAGCACACCCTCCCCCCGGCGTGTGTTTTTCCAGCGTCGAGACCTGCAATTCCCCCCGGTCTGGGACACGCTGACTGCTGCACGCAACAGCCAGCCGTGCCCAGGCTACAGCGACCTTTCCCTTCTCTCCTTCCGATGTTTGGGTGCTAATCCCGTCTGCAGCAGGAGTTGCCCATTCCCGTGTCACTCCCAGAAAGGGACTGTTTTTACGGAGGTAGAAACGACCATTTTTCTCTCGCGCCTCCCAAACCAGCAAGAAACGGGGTAAGAGCAGAGCAATCCAGCGCTCCGGCGGGAAAACCAGAGCAGGCCTTGCCGGCCTCCGGGAAGGTTTTGTGGTCAGCTGCTCCTGCGCTTCGCCCTTCCGGGCTCTGGCGTGGGTGACCGTCGCGGTTCAGTACCAGCCCAGCCCCGAGCAGGGGAATTCACGGGTTGGGGCACGGGCCGGGAGCCGGCGACGCAAGTTGGCCTGGAAAAACAGGCGATTTTAAGGTAAAATAGGTGAGGAAATGGGCTGGAGGGAACGGCCTGCTCATCGCACGTCACCCACGAGGCATCCCTGGGGTCCCTTTTGGGGTGCCTCCATACCCCGCAGCAAAGCGATCTCCGGCAGCGAGCGGTTTCCCCTCCTGCACCCCAAAATAGGCGTTTTTAGACAGTCTGTCGTCCCCAGCTGGAAAACAACAGAAAAGCTGGAAACGCAGAAAAAGAGGTGAAGGGGGTGGGGGGGTGAAGGGCAGGAAACCACGGCCGTGGGCTCGTGGGCAGCTGCGAGGGTCAGGCAGCTCCTTCCCCCTCTGCCCAGGAGGATCCTCATGAAAATCCCCCAGAAAAAACCGGAACCAAACAAACACTGAATTTTGTGTAACCCTCGGCTTCGCGTTTCTCTTGGCAGGAGAAGGTTGTGCCTCGGCATCCCGCTTGTTCCCCCCGGCTGGATCCAGGTAAGGGGGTTCAGGGGGAGCTGGGGGGGCTGTGGGAGTTGGGCTTAAACTTTAATTGGCGGGAGAAAACTTTAATTCTGGGGGAAAAACCCTTGAACTATGGGGAGAAAACTTTAATTGTGGAGAAGAGACTTTAACTGGGGGGAGAAAAGTTTGATTACAGGGATAAAATTTTGATTGAAAGGAGAAAATCTTAATTCTGAGGGAAAAAATATATGGGGAGAAAACTTTAATTACCAGGAGAAGATTTTAATTGGTGGGAGAAAACCTTAATTGGTTGGAGAAAAGTTTGATTACGGGGATAAAATTTGAATTCTGGGGGAAAAAACCCTGAATTATGAGGGGAAAACTTTAATTGTGGAGAAGAAACTTTAATTATGAGGAGAAAACTTCAAATCTGGGGAGAAAATTTTAATTGCAGGTAGAAGATTTTAACTGGGGAGTGAAAGGTTTTGGGGGAGAGAAAATTCTGATTACAGGGATAAAATTTTGATTGCAGGGAGAAAATCCTAATTCTGGTGGTCGAAAAGTTTGATTGCAGGTAAAAGATTTTTACTGGGGAGTGAAAAGTTTTGGGGGGAGAAAAGTCTGGTTACAGGGATTTTGATTGCAGGGAGAAAATCTTAATTCTGAGGGAAAAAATATATGAGGAGAAAAGTGATAAAGTTTTAATTCTGGGGGAAAAACCCCTGAACTATGGGGAGAAAACGTTAATTGTGGAAAAGAAACTTTAATTATGGGGAGAAAACTTTAATTGTGGGGAGAAAATTTTTAATTGCTGGGAGAAAATTTTAATTCTGGGGGAAAAAACCCTGAACTGTGGGGAGAAAACTTTAATTGCGGGGAGAAAATATTAACGGCGGGGAGGGAAGCTGTGTCCTCCTAAAAAACCAACCTGGTTTTGGTTCAGAATAACCCAAACACCCTCCATCTAAAACACCCACCTCCCTCCTTCCGCCGTGTCTCGCCCCGCCGTCCCCCTGTGCCGCCCGCTGAGGTTTCTGGGCGGCGGCTGGGGGGTGTCTCGACCCCCCGGTGCCAAGCGAACGTGACGGGGGTAGGAGCGACGCCGTCCCTGGCGCCCGATGCCGGGGCCCTACGGGGAGGCTGAGGCCCGGCAGCCCCTGGGGCACCTCTGAGGGAGG